TAGTGGTAAAGTCTCTAGTTTAGGAATCAGGAGATCTTGACCCAGTTCCTGGGTCTTACATGGACTCCTTCTGCGACCTTAGAAAAGTCACTTAATTTCTCTGTGCTTCAGTGCTCCATCTATAAAATGTGATTAATGATTCGTATGTTCTCTCACCTTTTGTCCAACAAGTTTATTTCAATTGCAAGTCATTAAGAGCAAAATTGGCCTCTTGCTAGGTGCTACTATAATACAAATAATATCTGTGTTTGTACTCAAGTCTGTTGGCCAATAGAGTAACTAGGGATGGGGCAGAAGGACATTCATCCTAGGCACTGAGTTAGGAGGGGTCCCGGAATCACCCCTACACCACCCCACAGAGTCTGTGCTGCAGCAGCATAAACATGCCACAAACTCCAAAATAGTCCCCAGTGGTGCTCTTTTAAAAGCAACAACCAGGGCAGGCAGAGCAAACAGCAGTGGCAGGAGCAGCTCAGCCAAGGACTGTTTAGGAGTTCCTGGAATGGGTAAGATTGCTATCTCACATGCTCTTGTCCCATCATAAACCATACCCCTCCACTCTCAGGGCCTATACCCGCTACCCTGGCTCTTGAACCTCCCCCGCTTCTCACCCTCACTTTCGAAGCCATAAATTCTCCCACCCCCTGGCTCTTGGAAATGCATGCCCCCCCGCCCACTCTCAGACCCATGCACCCCTCCTACTTTCCCACAGGTTTTGCCCCAGGTGCAAGCTCTCCTTGTTATGCCACTGTGTTGTCACACATAGCAACAAGCATGCTCTCTATTTTACCTTTCGCCATTCCCAGATAATATCTTCTTGAGGAGAACAAGATCGAACCTAAAAATATAGCACTATGACTTTAAGGAAGGGGAGTTTTCCTTTTTAGAGGGATTTGGGCTTGCTTTGCATATGTTTTTTCTCAAGGTTCCTGAAGATTCTTTTTAGTTTTATTATTTTCTGTGGTTTTGTTCTCCCCTGTGCAAGAATAACATCCTCAAACACAGCTACCCTTTCATTCTCTCTTTGAAACTTTTCCCTTCACTTAGCCTGATTTTTTACACTAAATTTTCTATATCTGTGCCTATACTTCTGCTTATCATGTTACATCTACACTATTGCCCATGTAGGCCACTGTATCGCTTCCATCTGTGCTGCAGTCTATATCCATGTTTTCATTCCTTCCAGGTTCAAATGTTGTAATGCCATATTCCATGTTTGACTGCAATACTCAGCTCTTATGGAAGAAAACAGAAATTTTTTTTGCAGAATATTTTTTTCAGAAGGAAGGGTGGACAGCCTATGTGCTGTCTATTTGCAACAAGTCCACTGGCCCCCTATTAATTTCCAAGTTCACCATGGTTGCCTTTTATTTTTAAATATTCCATTGCACTTTCCCCAGCCTCTTTAAATAATGTTATCTCTTTCTGCTTCTCTTCATTGTTTTTATCATCTTCTTCTCTTTCTCTTTATTAAATGTGTGAATTTCTCCCATGTAACTCCTTCATGCTTTCCCTTTTGGGATGTCTCCACATTATGTTATCCATTAATCATGCATACTTTATTTATAAAATATGTTTTTCACCTTTTTCTTTCTTTTTCTTTTAACTTGGTTAAAGGTTATTTCACTCTTTCTCTCTTTTGTGATGCTTTTGGGGACCATGTGTGTGAAAAACATTTCACAAAATTTAATATAACTGATGTAATCTTTAATCACAGCCAAAAAAACATTCAGTCTTACAAAGCATTTATTCATATGCTTTCTGTTGTTAGAAGATTATATGCATTTTCCTTATTAGACTTTAATCTGCCTCAACTTTCAATGAACCATTATGCCTCTACTTAAGAGAATAACAGAAATACCTCCAGGGATTTGTTCCTCTGTGCCACCATCTCATTCATAGTCATGTGGCAGTGAACTGTTCCAGCACTGATTAGACAAAATACTACAAAGGATATTGTAGACCTGAAAGGATATTGTAGTTAATTGTTTTAAGGTAAATAGCCTTTTTGGGCTTTTGTTTGTTTGTTTGGGGGTAGGAAGAGAAAGAATAGAGGCCTCATATCTGTGGTGTTGTCAACATTCCCATTTGGAAACAGAATTTTTTAAGGAAGTAGGGTATTTTTTACATCAGTATCCATTTGAGTTTTTAACAGAAGGATCATTCTTTTACAGTGTGGTCCTAACAGCACAAGAATTAACCTTTTCTTGGGAGCTCCAGAAGGGGAAAAAAAACCCAGACAATATTGAAAATAGCCATGTGTCTGTCTGCTGCTTCTTTTTGTGTTATGTTCCATTCACACTGGCCAACATTAAGAGTTCTTGTTTGAAGACAGTAGATAAAACTACTGCAAGAGACTAGGGTTCTTTGTTGCTGACTAGCTATGTAACTTTTGGGGGCAAATCACTTCAATCTTTTGCATTTCCATGTCCCAGAAAAAGACAAATGGGTAGGAAGTATGATGCCAAATCTCATTTTAAAAATTCCCAAAGGCACATACCTGCATCTTTAAGTGTGTATATATCTTTAAAAAACATGGGGAAAGTGATCCTTACCATCCTTTTGAAAAGGCTTTGAGATTTGAGAATTACATGACAGCTAAGTATTTAATTACTGGGAAAAATTATTAACTTGCTGCAGACAGCTAAGTATTTAATTACTGGGAAAAATTCTGAACTTGCTGCCCCTGCCAGGATCAAGTCATTTACTTGCATGCATCTCAAAGATATGCAAATTCTAGTTTCAACAATTTACAGAACATTAAGAAAATACTAGCAATATAATAATGATGGCATTATGTATTTGGCTAAGCCACATGAAACATTCATTACTAAATTGGGGATATTGAAATATTATCAATACCAATGTTTAATATTATATTAAGGCTCTCTGGGAGACTGGGCTGTACTGTGTCACATGATCATGTGGCAGAAACCATGGTGTGAGGCTGACGATGCATCTACAGTGCAAGAAAAGATGTGTCCTTAATACAGGTTAAAGTAGGAGTGAAGACAAAGTAGTTTGGGTAAGCGCATGTTGAAATCTACTGAGGAACCTTAATGTCACCATTATTTTAATCCAAATTAAATTATTTGGGTTAGTCAATCAGGGAATGAATTGAGATTCCACCATTGAGCTTTTAGTGTCGATGAATGAGTTCTAAACTTTTGGGGAGGGAGCTTGTGTGCCTCATCTCAAAAAGAAATGCAGAAATCTAGAACTCTTGGTTCAGAAATGATACCTTTTATTAGACCAACTAGGAGATTGAAAAAAAAAAATCTTTTCCTGCAAGCTTTCAGGCTCAAATGCCCTTATATACGTCATTTTTCCACAGAGGGGGCTGGAGATGGACATCTGTCCCCCTGGGTCCATGAGGATGTCTCTGTGAGTTGTTCTGAGGTGCTCTTTGTTGTGTGGATCAGGTAGGATTTCTTTCCTGGAGGTGTCAGATGGCAAGCAGGAAGGCTTGAAATTCTTTCTTGTTGTTCTGCAATGAAGTTTAAAATCCAAAATTGGCTAAAATTTGTCATCTTCCATGTTTCAGGGAAGTATTTGGTAGCCATGTTGGTCTGAGACAAAAAGAAATGCAAAAATCTAGAACTCTTGATTCAGAAATGATGCCTTTTATTAGACCAACTAGGAAACTACAAAAAAAAATATTTTTCTGCAAGCTTTCAGGCTCAAATGCCCTTTATCAGGCTCTGGGAAAATTCAAGATTCCTTCACCTCCAGGGAAGGAATCCTACCTGAGCTACACAACAAAGAGCAACTCAGAACAACTCAAAGAGACACTCTCATGGACCTCTGGGTCCATGAGAGAGAGGATTCTGTCTCTGGCTCCCTCTGTGCAAAAGTGACATTTATTTCCTACCTATGGGGACTTTTTACCATCTTTAATTTTCCCAGAGCCTCATAAAGGGTGTTTGAGCCTGAAAGCTTGCAGAAAAAGTTTTGGGTTTTTTTGCAATTTCCTAGTTGGTCTAATAAAAGGTATCATTTCTGACAGGGGCAATGTGCAGGGGGTGCATGGAGGTGCACATTCACCCCCTGAGAGCACTGGTGCACTCCCTGTCAGGCTGCTCTCCCTGTGTAGCCAGTGGATGGGGGGCAGGTGGAAGCACCAGTGCCCCCCTTGCAAGCACCAGCCAGGGAGCAGGGCCACCAGCAAAAGTGGCCGTGCCACTTCCAGAAGTGGCTGCGGGAGTTCGGGAAGCAGCCTGATCGCTTTTACAGTGAGTGAGATCAGCCATGGGGGACTTCCCCCCCACCTCCCCCAGCTAGCAAGATTGGCCACTGGGGGACCACCCCCCCCCAGCCAATAGGATTGGCCACCAGGGGCACTCGCCTAGCCAGCAGGATTGGCTCCTGGGGGACCTCTCCCTGGTCACTGACTGGCGATGGGGGAGCATGTGCCCCCCCAACTCAAGAGGCACCAGACATCCATGATTTCTGAACCAAGAGTTCTAGATTTTTGCATTTCTTTTTGTCTCAGACCAACATAGCTACCAAATTCATCTCTCATAAAGAACCAAGGAACTTATTTACTGCTTCAGAAGGGACTATTTGAAGCCAGCCATGCTTGAATTTTGGCATTGGGGTGGAAGGGGAAGGGAATTGGAGTGAAACAGTCACAGAATTTGAGGAAGAACGGTAGCTTGATAGTTCTTGTCATAGATTCGGATGGAAGTTCCAGTCCTTAGGTAGCTGAGATACCTTTGGAAAACCTACTCATGAATATCAGGTGAGGGGGATTCTCTTTTCTATGTCACACCAGCTGTCCAAAAAATGACATTATCTACCAAAGAGATAAGACAGAAAATTCTGCCTAAACTGGTAATTCCTTTCCATTGCATGTCAGTATTAGTGCATTGATGCACTAATGTGAAGAACACATGAAAATATTTGATATGCTTAACGTTTTGTAAATTTTACTCCAAAATTGATCAGTGGCTGAACTCATCACAATATCTTTTTTTTTTTTTTCTGTACTACTGTTACAGGTGATTACGTAGTCATGACAATCTACTTCGACTTAAGTAGAAGAATGGGATACTTCACTATCCAGACATACATTCCCTGTATATTAACTGTTGTTCTTTCCTGGGTGTCATTCTGGATTAAAAAAGATGCCACACCAGCAAGAACAGCATTAGGTAAGATTTTAATCATTTCCCTTTATGCTATGTCTGTCATGTCTGTGCACTGCCATTTGAAAATTACAGCTTATTTTCAAGCAGAAAAATAATGGTTATGAGTACTACACATGTCCACCTCCTGCAGTCCCAAAAACTAGTCACTAAAAGAGACTTTGGAATTTAGCTTTTAAAAGGGCAATTTAAATAAACTATTCTGCCACCAAACAAAATTACACTACTACCTATTTTAGTTGCAAAATATCCCAGAATTAATGGTTTCCTCCTTGTTCCCCCTGTGGTATTCTAACAACATTTCTGACTCATAATCATAGTTGACGTCTTCCTTCCCTCTTTTTTTAAATTGGTCCTTGTGTCTGTTTATATTTATAACATTCCTATGAAAATGGTAATCTTAAATGTAATAAAACAAATTTATCCAAAAAAAAATCCACTTAAATTCACATTTAGGTACCTGTTTTCATGGGTAGTGGAGACCTGCAGCTCCAAATTGCCTCGGAAAAACAGGCTACTGGCATAAGTGTAGATTTAGGTGATGAAGTTTAGGCTACACTTGAGATTTATGACCATGTATTTTTAAATAGAATACACAAGCTTAAGTCTGTGCAATAGACCTATTCGAATAGGGAAGTATTTGATTCGAATTTGGCTGATTTGGAGGACAGTGATTCAATTCAGAGATTCAGATCACTGTCCTGAATCAATTTCACCAAATAGGCTTTGGAAAATTCGGCACTGATTTGGAGATTGGAGATTCAGCCACAGACTATAATGGGGAATCACTAAAATACTTATAACTTTGTCATTTTTTTCTAAATCTTTTCCAAATAGATTTGGAGGGGATTTTTTAGTCTCCCAATTTGATTTGGATTTGGTGATTTGGCCTCCGAATTGGGCCGAATCTTCTCCAAATTGAATAAACGACCAAAGTTTTACACACCCCTACTGTGCAAGTATCAGTGTCATGAATTTGTCCCAACACAAAGACAACTCCAAGTTGTCTTTTGGGGTTCACTGTGTGGCATGCATGGATAGTTTCCCAAATTAGATTTACTCCTATGGTGTTTAGTCTCTATTTGTAGCTAGTGAGAAGCTGGGTTCAGTTTTGCCATTTTCATATCTATGTATTATAGCATTTAATATAAATGCATTTTTATAATTTGATGATTTGACTGGAAGATAATCAAATGAGGTATTTTGCACATACCCAAGGCATTGTCTACCTATAATGGGAAATCAACTTCTGTATAGAAAAGGCATCTGAGAGAAATGGCTTTCCAGCAACAGGAAGTCCAGGAACTTCAGGGTGACCAGAACTTTCTAGATGATTCTGGTGAGCAATTAGAATAATGCTGGTGTGGGCAAGAGGGGGAGCGAGGAACTGGCTTTGGAGGCTATTTAGAGTTTAGCTATGAGAGAATCATGGTATTTGGATCCCAGGCTTTGGAGTTTCAATGGCCCCAG